TCGCCGCGGCCAGAGAACGCCGGCCGGCCCGTTCGGTAATGGGAGGCGCGTTTTTCTGCCAGAAAACTCACATATTTGTGGGTGGAGTCAGTTGGGAGGCCGGAGGGATTTTTAAATATTTTTTTTATTTTTTATTTATTTATTTTTTTTCAAACTCCTGCGTAGGCCAAACACTGCAGGGACTTCCAAGGGGTAGAAAAATGAAACCTTGGGGGTTAGCGAATTTCCACTGTTTGTGGAGCCAGAGGTCCAGCTCTGGAAACAGGGGAAGCAACTGGCCGCTGGGACGGGGCAGGGGGGGGGAGCCTGAAAACTAGATGGATGGACGCGCCCTAGGAGCCTTTTGCTACCTGTATTACCTGCACCTGCACCGTGTGACCAAGAAAAGCAATGCGGGTGCCTCCAGTTTGGGGCTCTCTGGGTCACAGCCCAGGCAAGACTCACCTGTGTGGCCCCACTAGGACTCGGGGGCCAGGGAGATACAGCTGTGCAGAGAGTCACGTCAATGCTCAGCAGCTCAAGGGCACACGAAGGGCCACCTTTAAAGAGGACCTTTGCCCTGGCCGGTGCGGCTACGTGGTTAGAGCGTCAGCCTGCAGACTGAAGGGTCCCGGGTTCGATTCGGGCCAAGGGCACGTACCTTGGGTGGCGGAGGGACACACTTACCTCTTGCGGGACACTGGATGGTCACACTGGCTCCCAGGGCTACCTCCACAGTGCTTCCAACCACGACGGACAGAGGGCCGTGCTCCGGTCCGGTAATATTTCTTTCCGTGAACAAGATGACAGGCGCCTCTTAATTCAAAGGGAAAGGAAACTACGTTAGGTCCAGGCTCCGGCTCTTCGGTAGGCTTCGCGGCACGGGGCAGGCCGCGCTGAGCCCTCTGAAAGCAGCTTTCAACGAGGGGAGTTACCTGCGAACAGCACAGGAGAACTCTCGGCGTCGGAACCGAGGTGATTGGCCACGGAGCATCCATACAGCCCCTGATCTTTCTTCGTGGGTTTCCGTATCTGCAACTTCCCCGCCCCAGACAAAATTATCCTGGAGGACAGTGAGAAAGAGGCTGGAGTCACAGCCGGACCCGCGTGGCTCGGCCGTTGAACGTTGACTCGTGAACCAGGAGATCGCGGTTCGATTCCCCGGCCGGGGCACAGGCTCGGGTTTCGGGCTCAATCCCCCCAGCAGGGGGCGAGCAGGAGGCAGCCGGTCAATGACTCTCATCATTGATGTTTCTCTCTCTCTCCCTCTCCCTTCCTCTCTGAAATCAATAAAAATATATTAAAAAAAAAGAAAAAGTAGTCACGTGAAACATTGAGCAGCGAGTCACAGAGAAAGATGACGGCAGAACTGCAGACTTTGGGGCTGGCAGGGACCCCAAAAGATGACCCTGTCAAGCGTCCTGCCGATGCGCAGAAAATCACGCAGAGCAGAGAGGGGAAAAGCCTCTCCTCTCGGCTTTAACGCGCAGAAGTGGCAGACGGAGCCCGACGGAGCGTCCAAATCCAGCCTCATCTCACTTTGCACGAGACTCAAATTTTCAGGGCGGACGCGATGCTTCATCTACCACATTTTTTTAAAAAAAAAAAGACAAACCCGCCACCCTTCGCTTGCCGGATGTTCAACCCTCACTGTGGGCTTATTTTTAAAACGGCCTTAGGCTGATTTTATTCTTAAACGACAAGAGCCCCGCAAAGCGAGAAAGCGAGAGCACACGCACACGCTCCAACGCCGTCTCCCGCGTTCCGAGCCGTTCCACGCCTACGTGCGGGCGATGGGACACAGCGCCGTTTCGTTTAAAAAAAACCTCCAACGTGTGTATGTGAAAAACACATCCTAGCGTTTCTGGAGTCTGTTTCCTAAAGAATCCCGCCGGAAACACATTCCCAGGAGGGGCACTTTGAAAACATTTCTGACAAAACCGTTATAACCATTAACAAGGCCTCGCACACGGGGGACCCCGGACGCCGCTCACTCACTTTTCGGAGGGCCGCAGCCGGGCCCCGTCTTTCGTCCACGTGTAGGTGACCTCGCTGGGGGTAACCAGCTCACACAGGATGCTGATGGCCGCCGTCTGTTTTGTGATGTACACCGTGTTCCCGATCCACGAGTTTACCGTTTTATTGAACGAAACCGAGGCCGGCTGGCCCTGCCTCACAAGAGCCGGCCCCCTTGGCCTGAACGTCAGCTTGCCCGCGTTTTTCGCGCCCGAGCTCGGGCGTACACGGCCGGTGTCCCCTCTGAGCTGGGCCGCGGGAGGCCCCTCCTCCCGGGTGGCCTTCCAGGGCAGGTGGGCCGGCTGCTGGGCCTTCGCCAACTCGGCCACCAGCTGGTAGATCACCTGGGACGCCAGGTCGTCGCTGACCTCCCCGGTCTCCATGAGCTGGCTCATGTTCCGTATCAGTTCATCGAACTGGGCCGTGTCCATGCTGTAGGCCCCCTGTTTCACCGCCGCTTCAAACTGCTTATTCTTCAACTCCCAGGAGCTGGGGTTTCCTGCGGAGCCGTGGCAGTGGCCCAACAGGGCCCTGAGGAAGGGCTGGTTATGAATCTGGCCGACGTCCCGGTGCAGTTCATTGTTATTCCACACATGCCGCATTTTATGCCAGGTGGCTCCCAAACTATCGGCCTCGCCGCGGTCCATCCCCGGGGGTCCCCCGGGCCGCTCCCCGAGGCCCGAGGGCGCGATGAGCCGGTTGTCGGTGCCGATGAGCTTGAGGACCACGGTCTCCCGGGAGGGGCCGGCGATGCATCGGTACACGCCGCCGTCGGGGGCCGCGAGGCTGTGGATTTTCAGGGAGCCCGACTTGGTCACGCCCAGCCGCTTGGAGTTGTGCAGGCAAAGGCCGTCTTTCTCCCACTGGATCAGGGATTTCTGGAAGCGCCGCACCGGGCACTTGATGATCACGGACGTGTTGGGCAGCAGGTAGGCCCTGCTGCCCACGGTCAGGTTGACTCGCTTCTCCTCCCTGGTCTGGATGTACACTCTCTGCACACCCAGGATCTGAGGACCCTGCCCGCTGGGCTTTGTCTTCGCCTCTGCTTTGATTTCTGCGGGGCGAAAAAAGAAAGAAAACGCCAATAACTATCTCGATGGGAACCTGGCCAGCAGGAGGCAGCCAATCGATGACTCTCATCATCGATGTTTCTCTCCCCCCCTGCGTCTCACTGAAATTATATATCTACATATATACGGGTCAATAATAAACGTTTTCCGACAGTAATCTCCCAAAACGGATCGATACAAGCCAACGAACGCATCTTTCTTCCTCCTCGAAAACATCTGATTATTAAAACGTGAGCGATGCCACACACCCGGAGGCTGGGGTGCACGGCACAACTATTCCTAGGACTTGAGCAGCAAAGAACGCGACGTCGAACGACACGCGAGGAAGCGTGGGGGTTATTTTACAAAGGCCTGGTTTGGGGGAGGCGTGGGGTCCGACGGGAAACGTGTTGACTTAAAGCGGAATCACCAGCACAGGTGGGCCTGCTTAGTGACTTTTTAGGGGAGTCTTAGGAAATAGGGGAAGAAAAAAACCCCAAAACCACAGTATTGCCCTGGCCGGTTTGGCTCCGTGGTGAGAGCATCAGCCCAAGGACTGAAGGGTCCCGGGTTCGATTCTGGCCGAGGGCACGTAACTCAGGCTCGATGCCCAGGCCCCAGATGGGGCACATGCGGGAGGCGACCAATCGATGTGTCTCTCTCACATCGATGTTTCTCTCTCCCCCCGTCGTCCACTCTCTGAAAAGCAATGGGAAAAATATCCTCAGGTGACGATTAAAAA